CTTACCTATCGAGTACAGCTTATTCGAAGCCTTATTGGTGCGAAAGTTGTGAAAATATCATTATAAAACCGTTTAGGAAGGGATTAGAATACAGCGTCGTTGTATTTTCAACCGTGACGCTCTTGGGTTTGAATAATACCGGCTGAAACAGATTTAGAAGGAATCTTTGGTACGGCTTCGCTTTTTTATTTATTTGGTGAAGAAAAAGCCAATAAGACGACTTGATCTTAAAGCGAACCATGGCGGTTACCAGTACAAGTCGGCAATGGCCATACTTAGCCAGTTACATATGCACGGGTATGGGTATTAAGAAGTCAGTTATTCGTTTCATATAAGTTAGATTACGCTTGCAAGACGAGGTTCAGTACTGTTATTGCTCGCCATTAATTTTATGATTATCTTGGGATAAGTTAGGTATTTGCCCCGTCTACTAAGACAGACAGAATCAAAGAAATGATCAGAAAAGTAGCGGCGGTGCAATAACATCGAAGTATCGGAGATATATGTTGTAACGCTATTATTACTTATATCCAGCGATTAATATAGAGCTATTACTGAATCAGTCTATTTATATCGAATGATAAGCGAGCTATGTCAATGCACGTTTAAGCGGAAATTGAAACAGTTCGGTTTCGGAGTTGAGTGGGCCTTAGTATTATCAGGGTTTCAGACTGATGATGTGCGATGAATTTGATTTAAACAACTAATGGCTTAGTCATCAGAGCCGTGGTTTTCAACTTTCAATCCGACCGTCTTTTCAAAGACTTTTATCACATATGGTTCCTTGCTCTTCATTTCATAAAAATCTAGTTTTGAGTTTAACGCGTTTCATTAGTTATTTTATTCGCCACGTTTAATAACAAATAAACGAAAGTAAAACAATAAACGCATTACAGCCAAAGAAATAAACCAATCACAGTCAATTTACTTTGAATTAATGTAGTGAAAGGTAACGAATGGAGATCTTTGCCCAAACTCCAAGAGAACCGATCCGAGGACTAGTTACAGAAACCCTCGCTTGGATCGTCGCACTTGACTATTTTGGCATCGCGGGTCAAAGAACTCGTGTTTAAATCTCATAACCACCTTCCCATTCATATTTCAAAAAGTTAGAACCCATAACCTGCTAGGCAAACTACCTAAACCCGCTGCAGTAACCATTACAAACATCGTTTATTAGCAGTTTCGCACGTCGTTAGCGCTTTATGGTTGTTGGGTGTTAATGTATATTTCAAGATCGGTTTCTAATGAGCTTTTCGTTGGTGAGTTGTAAGGTGAATCGTATCCTTTTTACTCTTAATTTACTGTTGTGTATCTTCGCTAAATTTGACCTGTATTTTGTGGTGTCTATCTTCCAAGTAAGATTTGATGATGAAGGCTTGCCCTGAGTTTCACAATGGTGCAAGGTTGGTCCAATTCGCCGTCCAAAGAGAACCGTACAACCGCCGGTTGGAGCACATATTCGTAAGCACATATATGGAAGCACGTGAAAATCTCTGAGAATAGTTACCGATTTTCACGGAAATAACACGAGCTACCACTCAAACCACGAAAAATAGATCTCTGAGTAAAGTTACAAGGCTACGTACTGAATACTAAATGGTATTATGGTTGCGCGTTTGTAAATACCTTGCGAGACTCATACATGTTCATTGCATTAATTTCCTGTTCTTTTAAGCTTATGTATTCAAACATAACGTTACTTTATCAATGTATTGATAACTAATTGATTGAATTAACATCCGTTGCTGTTATAGTTTTGAAAGTTGTGATGCCCCGCTTCCGAGCAAGCCAAGCACTAGGGCTAAGCGTTTGCCACGGTTTTATTGATATTTGAATCGAACTTTCAAACTCTCAAAAGTCGTTAATCCTTTGAATTTGGCCAACTTTTGGTAATTTCCTCCGCTTAAGTTACGAATCTACTTCGCCGATTTAACCGTTCACTACGAAAAAGGCTCTAGACAAGCACTTATTGATGCAAACTGAGCTAGTTATATGTCAAAGAATCAAAATTTTTCGGCCTGGCCTCCTCGCTTTTAAAAGCCTCGCCTAGGGGAAGATAAAGACCGGACTTCGGCTCCGGAATTGAAAATACGACTCTGACTACAACTTCATTATCGGCATGAAACGATCAACAGAGATCCAGAAAGTCCCATTCAGGTATTGATTAAATACAAATTCTCGATTCTGCCTCCTCGACAGATAACGCACATTTAGCCGGGCTTCGTTGCACTTTCGTTCGGCGCAAATACGCTTTCTTACCGAAGTCCAAGTGTTCTGTCGGACCAAATCAAAGGTTCACTGCTACGATATTGGGGTAAGGCAAAATTGTTGTGACAATATTCGTATCCGAATAGTGATGTATTCTGATATTCTATCGCGTAATTATTCTCGAATATCCTGATGTATCTATTTTATAGGTATATCTTGATAATCAAGCTTTAACATGGGAAGCAAACAATATGGAATTGTCAGAGTTTCGCATGTCTATAGTGTCACAGAGTGGGATGGTCCATTTATTACTTTCAAATCGTATATTTTACCTTTTTTAACGTTTTTACAACTTTCCTGAACGTCTAAACTGACAAACTTCATCAGGGCAATAAATAGAAAATAAAATTCACAATATCTATACAGCTGGAGTGGCTACTTTCGATTTAGGTTTATTCACAGTAGTACATACAGATTTTTTTTTCACATTTTAAAAATTGAGGGTCCGACCTGGCTACGCCTCTGGAAGAAGGCACTTTCACTTTGGGCTAGAACATACAGAACTGGCGAGGGCGAACATTACAGTCTTTACAACATTTCGAATGTCTATGCAGACAACTTCATCGGTCGATGTGCAGGGAATAAAAGGTATATATATACAATTAATTATATCAGTCGGGGTTACGCGGGACTACTTCAGATATGGAATCTATGGTAACCGTACATTTGAACCCATGTGTATATCCGCAGGTTCAATCTATATGCGGGTGCTGAAACCCATTGGTTAGGGTTAGTATGGGTTCAAATATCCGTGAAACAAAAAATTTCCATAAGTGCAATAGTATGTAGGTGCAATTGTCGTGGGTTCAAATGTACGGGAACCGGAATCTATCAATAACGGGGCAGGTAAGGACTGTGATTTGTTTATTTCTATCCAACGTCATGGGAAAGTTTAGACATTCAAAATGATGATCAAAGTATATAATTTCCTTTGTAAGAGTTGTGTATGTGTTACTATGAATATGTCTCGTATTAACCCTATTGAGAGCAAGCATGCAGAGCCACCAGTTGTATATACGTTATCATTTTTATTTCGTGGGAGAGGAAAGCCGATGCAATGGATAATTCATATGTGAACCATGGCCTCTCGTCAGTTTATCAGTCCATGTCGGGTATGATATTGTCAGCCTGTCATTTGTTTCAGATGCTTGGACTTTTTGTATGGAATTTCATATTTATTGTGCCCTTTTCATTTAAATTCATCGCCTTTGTGAAAATGGCTGCATAGACTTTTGAAACGCTGAAAATACTGCTAACTGTGCATGTTTTGTTATGATATTTTTTCGGTCATATTGCTCTACGTTTTCAATTCACTGTTGCCTAGCAGGTTATTTACCGCAACCGTCATATCGTGTGTCTGACTCACTCGCGGTTTCGCTTTAAAGTACTGCCTTCCGTTTAAAGGTTGTATAGTCATTATGAATTTTATTTCTATAGAGAAATGATTCATCGAAATTTTCGTTTTAATAACGTTTATTTTGAAGTGGACAATTTTATTATTTAAGAGAATCAATTTTACATCCTACGCCCGGGGTAGGAAACTTTTCTGTCGGAGATTTAGTTGATACTTTTTGATTGGCGAGTCGCTCCAATTTCACCAACTATTGTGGTGCTTATCTCACTTTCATATCCCAGGGAGAGTGGTAGTGGAGAGTGGTCGCGGGGCCCAGGTCTAGAGCGTTGCGTCGAGGTATAAACAAGTATAATATATCATCACAGTGTACGATTAGTTTATCTGCGTGTTCTCATTTATATTCTATGTCACAAGGTGAGAATGCCCACTTCGTATTTTTATATTTCATAGCCTGTGGAGCTCAAAATAAATAATCTTCCTATCGGGATAAATTCATGGACAAAATACCGATCTAAATGTTCAATTTTTACATATTTGTCATCCATCTTTTTATCACTCGAATTACGTTTTGGGAATTTCCGAGTTCAAAATAGAAATCACCGAATTCGTGTGAAACTATACTTTCGACAATTTACTGCAAATTATTGAAAGGCATCTATCTCGCAAGGATGATATATATGAATCTTAACGTTCAGTTGTTGGTCGTAATTCTTCCATCAAAACTCTTATCACATTTAGTTGAGGGTTCGGGGCCTTGCTTTGAGCATTTGGGGAAACTTGCATATAACAGTTGGCAATATATATTCTATATATTCTGATGAAAGATTTCTTCCTGAATAGTATATGATGCCTAAGCTTGGTCCGGAGTGAACGTATGAATCGTAATATAAAAAAATTTCTAAGGTGTTGAAATGATAACTGTAAAAATAATTCTATGTGTTGAAAAATTTTCCTTCTTTATAATCAACGCTTTTACTTGCTTTCGCGTCTGTTCATGTTATTTACTGTTTAAACACAGTCATCTGGTCAGCGATTTCCGTTTGGTATTATTTTAGGCATACGTTTGTTTATGTTTCCAAACGTAGCATATTAATATGGCGCGCATCAGGAAGAAGATTGTGACATCACGAGGAAGAATTAATTAGGCTTCAGTGACGTCATAATTTACTGGAGATCTCGAAAGACGACAAATTGCGTTGTCCTTCATCATCATTAAAGATAAAAATACATCGATGTGGTATATTCATATTCTACCGAAGGATAAGCACCAATTTTCGGCAGAATAGATTGAAAGCTTCGGTCAAGTGGACAGGTGACTGTCTTTGATAAATTTCAAAATATTTTACTAAAGTTGACTTTATATTTTTACAGCAACATATATAGACTTTTAACTTGCATATATTCTGTAAAAATAACGTGCCAAATTTGGGCAAAAAACTGCGGAAATATTATCTGTGCGATGTGCTAAATCATTTGTAAAAGAATATGCAGAATAATTCATACGATTTATACACGGGAAACCACTTTGCAAACAAGACCATGTCAAAATCGCCATTCTCACCCGAATCCCAGGGATATCATAGCGATTCAGACATTTCTATCGAAGACATGGGTCACAGTAGTGCTAAACTACAGACAATAAAAACGGAGGATTTGCATGTAAATTCTCCGTCTCCGACGAGAGATTGCATAGACTGCATGGACGAGGAACTACAAATTCCTCCACCTGCGATACAGGATTGCCCCAACCCACAACAATCTGTGGTTGCTAACCCCTCCCCAAAAAGGTCGAAGGTCAAACCCAGTCCTACCAATATATTGGACGAACTGGAAAATTTGGGGCCCTCGAGTATTGTCCTCCCTCCCCCCTCAACAAGCAGTCAGAAAAAAGAAGCAGCGCGACCTGGACACATCAAGCGTCCACTGAACGCCTTCATGGTGTGGTCGCAAATCGAAAGACATAAAATCACCTCCAAGGCGCCGAAAATGCATAATGCTGAGATCAGCAGAAATTTGGGGAAAAGATGGCGCGAGCTAGAGGATTCGAAAAAGCGCCCGTTTATTATTGAAGCAGAAAGGTTACGTCTCCAGCACATGCGAGACCATCCTGACTACAAATACAAACCAAAGAAGCGAACGAAAAGTATGTCAAAGAAGGAAAACGAAGAAGTAGAAAACATTAGCAAAGTCGCAAGGATGCACTGTGACGATAACAAAGAAAGCACCATAGTTGTTGTGACGCAACACGATACTGATGCAAATAAAACTGTGACATCACAAAACATTGCAAACCAGCAGACGACAAGTGTCATCAACAAGAAGAAAAAATCCCCCGCGAAAAAGGCAAAAACGAACAAAATCGAGATTCCCGATCAAATCACCCAAAACGTACCTCCCATCTCCTCCCCGACCCTCAAAGCTCTCCTCTCGCCGACCTCAATAACCAACGGTGCATGCAACAACACTATGACGTCATCGCCCTGCGTCACAAACATAAAAAGGGAAACGACGCACTGTGACGTCACACAGTCGAATACAAGGCCAGCAATACTAACGAACTGTAACGGCTTTGCCACCATAAAAATCGAACCGAACACGGATTTCGAACAGTCGAACTGCCAAACTAGGCAGTATGTGATATCAACCACAGGAGGTTCGAAGCTTACCTGTCTGCAAAACGCCCAACCGAACCCGAATTCGAACTGCTACATTCAGTCACAACAGACAAATATCTTTCAGTTTCAACCGATACAGCGACATGAAGACACAACGACACAGCGACAAATGCAAGAATTTGACGAGATTTTGGAAAGTTTTTGCGGAGGAAGCACTAAGGTATGAGTTTTTGAATATTTTATCAATTTTTGCTGATTTGATAAAAGAAAAATGCGCAGTTTTCGAATAGTTTTGTATCGATTTGTAAAGAATGTTAGAAACTAGGCGTTTGTTCGAAATCGATCTTAGTTATATTTAAGTACTATTATGGTTGTATATGTGCTTCTTTATATTGGGTAACAATGAGACAAATAGGACCAGTTTCAATGCACAGATATGTACGAATAGCACCTTGCCGTTTGTTGTCATTCACAATATTTATGTACACATGATTTTAGTATTTTTGGTATCTGGTCCAGTATATGGTTGTATTTATACTTTACATTATTGATGGACAGTGAAGCAAACAGAACCAGTTGTAACGCGCTGAAATATGCAAATAGTACCTTGTTGACTCTAGAAATCTCGGCCCTTGTTTTTATCATTCGCACAAATTCGGGTATTTTATGTTTTCTATCTCATTTATTTTTGTGTTATCCGATGTCTTGTTGTATTTGTACCTAAATATTTTTTAGAAAATGAGAAGCCATTTCTAAGCACATCCTTGTATAGGTAGATGGAAAAGCGTTTATATTGCAAAATATGATCAGACGAAAATAGCGAGGTGATTTGTACACCATTCGTTACATCACGTATATAAATTTTACGGAACGAACATAATTGTTTTAAACGATGTGAAAATGACGATGCGCAATAATAGAGTGTTCCCATTGCATATATTTATGTGAAATGATCAAACTGGTAGCTTTTTGTATGGGCTTTTGAGTAGCGTGTGTGGTATATCATTCATATTGTCGCTACTTTTTCTTCTGTGATTTTACGCTGGTGGATCTGTATGCATATAATGCAAGGATACTGTTCCAAAAAGTAAAGATGTGTATTCTAAGTGATTCAAGAGTCCTGTTACACATAAACACAAATGTATTCCTGTAGCCTATATTAGAGTGCCGTACAGTGAAGGTTCAAAAACCCGTACAAAAATACATTTCCGTTGGTGTCCAGCAAGACACTTGAATCAGTCATCGATCGAGATACTTTGAATTTTTCATAGCTGTTTTTATTGCTAGATTAGCACTTTACCAATGGTTTCATCTTCACTTTGTTGAGTCCATTTATTGAAACGGGAACATATAATTCGGAACTTCCTGTTAATTTTTCATCGCCATGCAAGGCCTAACGATAATTGCAAACTAATATTGCAATTTATTCATCGCCAAAGTATGGCCGTATTTAAGTATTCAAATATTGTTACTAGGTTATATAGGTTTGAAAATGTAACTTCCTACTCATTGTGTGTACATACACGCCCGTGTCAGCGAAATGATTCTAATTGTAATGTTGTATATGCGTATAAAAGTTTTGCAAAATTGCAATATCCTTCTATACCAGGGGGTGTGCAACATTTTTTTGTCAGTCGGTGATTTGTAACCATATTAGTTTGTGTGTCGATAATTCTATCGGCTTCTCGTTCTCAATTAGGGTCTCTAGACAAGTGTGCAATAAAAATCGAAATGCAAGTCGATGGTTTTTTTGAAATATGAGCCAATTTTGATAAATGGCAACCCAATATTTCATATATTATCAATATGTCCACTCAATACAACAACCGGATAGGCGTTACCGCAACAGCTGATTTATGCAAAGTAACAGGGAAATGACTAAGAGGAAACGCGTCAGGCATCGCGTTTCGATCATTTTAGCCAAATTAAACTAATCCGAACTAACGCAGGCTGATTATAGCGATGTTCAGACCTTTATAATAGTCAAATAAAATTCAAATTAGCTATTCGTAAAGAGAGTATCTAATTAAACGTAATTTCAATTTGATCAATTATATGTTTATCATTAATTGTACACATCTCGCCCAGCGTGTGATAAACTGGATTGGCGATGCCGAAACGGGAAGATTTTTGTCCTTTTGAAAATAGCAGAGGCTTACATATCGTTCGATATCTATGGATTCGCCTACAGAGCGTTGCTTGGAGCGAAGAGGGTGAATAAGCGTCGCTTAAACATCTGCAATCTACGGCGTTCATGCATCTAAAACAATTAACGAGTTAACTAATCCCAGACCCGACAAAGACGAGACGCTGTGGTTCGCCATATGATCGAGTCGTTTCATCACCTTCCCTCCTCCCGGTTTAAACATGAATATCCTATCTTTATCCGAATAGTCTACTAAAATTCTTTTATGCAATTAATTCCAAGTTGTGGGTGGTTATCGGAGTCAAAGTATCGCCCAATCCGGGCAATAAACCGCATTTTAAGAGACTCGACGCACCTCCGCACTGGAAAAAGGCCAAACCTCATTAATTTTAACGTGACAATTAAAAAATACTTTTTGTATGACGTTGTTCTTGTTGTATGAGATCACAAAGGTGTAATTATTCAAAATCATTTTGTTTTTGTTGGGAAGACTATATTTTTGTGGTCATTATTAGCGGTATATGCATAGAATCGTGGTGCGCTACTTAAATTTCGTGTCATTTGTTATTGGAATTCGAATATTCTGAATAGGTCAATATCTTCGCTCGGTGTATTTCAATAAATTTGTGTACGTTTTAAGGTGAGAAATACATACATCATTCTAGTTTTCTAAATTATGCCAGAATTCCACCACACAACTAACTCTCAATTCGGATATTCGGAATGGCACAAATATTCTGCATCATTCTATTCGTGTTCCAATATTTTAATTCGATAATATTTTTTTAATATAAATTCACGATATAAGCAAAATTTAATTTTATGAAATAATCCCGGATTTAAGGAGCTTAAAAAAAGATTTGATCGCTTGTTCGGTCAGAATTAACGCAATTTGAGCACAATTATCCTATTTATGACGCAATAAACCGATTCTTGGAATTGTTGTTGATCAGCTGATTTCTAAGAACCAATTGTGCGCTCACGAATAAGCCCAATAAACAAGAGATTTATGGTTTTATCATTTAAGATTGATCAGACATGGCCCGGATGTACTGGTTATGATTAAAACAAGACTGTGAGCAAGCAATTAATGAAAATATCCCAAACGCACCTTTGGTTAAATTAATATTTTTTTTCGATTTATTTTTTCAAAATAACGAGTTTCCAGAACGTGTAATTTTCCTCAAATTATAGCGATCAAAATTGCATCGTTTCGTCGATATCGTTTCGATGGCGTTCGCCTTATTCTGCCTCCAGGGCGTTGTTATTCAACGTTTTGCAGATGCCATTTCTCGGTTCAAAAGTTCTTAGCCATACTAAAGACCATTTTACCTGCTTCTTTCAAAAAATCTCCTTGCATATCAGTGGGAGCTCGCACAGAGTCTTGTTCAAAGCAAACCCATTCCATTTCAAAGCCATTAGTCAAGCAGTCATATGGAATGTTTTTAGAAGAACTTTTTTAACTTTATATTCTGTTATTTATTCACTTATGCGTTTTCAAGTTAGCTCGGCATCATTTTTTACAAAAAGGTAAATGGATAGACCTCACTCAGAATGTTGTTTTGAGCAAACAACCACATAATGATAGTTGAAGATATGGCATTCAACACATACACCTAATTTGATAGCTGCAGTCCTCACACAAATCGATCACACTCTGGTCAGGCATATAGCTTGAGTTCGAGGTCTTTAACCTGGTATATATCAATAGAGTCAACGTCCTGAGCCATCGTGCCCACTAATTATCAATTATATAACATATATATTATGACCTGACTGAGAGTTTATTTATGCGATTGTATTCCGGCATTTCACGCGGCGAATGATTTGACTTCGCAACACCTATTTCAAAACGCTTAATTTATTTTATTCAATTCGTTCTATCACGTTTTCGAGCAAACGAAACGTATCGCACTCGATACTCAGTCACGTATTATAGCGACAATATTGAGAAGTCGTTAATCAAATATATTGCTTTCATTTATAGCGTTATATGACCTATCAAGTATGTACGTTCAGATATCGCTTTGCGTACTAACATATTCTATACCAATAAGCTCTTGCTCCAACTAAACCACTGTACAAAAAGCTGTTAGTAAGTAAGGATCTAGCATGAATCACGTCCTCGACCCTTATTTCTATAATATACGGGTAGGGACGAAAATTTGGACTCTGTATGTGATGTCATACATGACCTTTAAAGTGTTGAATTTTCCCTCAGGATTCACATATTATGCGGAAACGGTTTGAATTATTTTTGTTCATGCAGACGCTTCGCATAAATACAGTGATGTGAGGATATTTTATACGAAGCTTTATACGATTTATCTTCGAATGAGATTATGTGCGAACATCCGCTTATATGCAAGAGACCACTATCGTTTCGTAGGATCGGAATCATTCCATAAGGCGTTTCATGGCTTCTCTGTGAGTAAGGATTTACGCAGGCAAACACCGATCGGATGTTAACGATTGAGTTTCTGTGGGACTAACTATGCCTATGCTTATGCGCTAGAATTAAATCGGATGTTGTTGTGATTCGATTTAGAAAAATTTGAATCTTCATGTTTCAACACAACCAATCCAATTCTCACACCCTGAATGAGATGATGAACACTTGCTTATAACCCTAACCCAAGCCATTTTGGTCAGTTATTTCAAGCGCGCTTTCATACACGCCATGGCGTATTTTATCATTATTACGATTGCATAGTATAACTGTGAACTCAATAGTTGTTATTGACTCATTCAAATATCGTGCAACGTTTGGCAAACTTTGGAATCAGAGATCAAGGTAAATAATATTGGCTTCGTTCGTATTTATAGGCTCCTAAAATACTTTATGTCGACATAATGCCCAAACCAATGTTTTGATTTTGCGTTTCTCTTTTTTCTCTCATTTTTATTCTCTCGTATTGTCAGCTGATCACCGCAAACCAGCTGCGATCGGGAAAACACCTCACTCTTTCTCTTTTTCTCTCTCTTCTATTATAGCTCGCACTTAGTGTTTCTTCATTATATTTAAGCGTCCTTCATTTCCCAGCTGAGACGCTACTTCGTTCGCTTGCAGCGAC